GTAAACTCTCTGCCGGGAGTAGTCATTTGAACTGTCTAGCCTAATCTGGTCTGGCAGCCTCAGCTCGAAAATAAGACGCAGATCAACGGCAGCAAGACCAACGCTGTTGAGGGATGAATCCATCCCAATCAGGGTCTTTTCGAGTTTGTAGAGGGCGTAGTTGTCACCGAACTTGCTCCGGCGTGGGCTCCAGGCGAGGATTCATCTTCTTGATCAGATGTGCACAGTCGTCAGAGAGATGGTCAAGATGCTGTCCTCACAAACCAAGAGGGTTGGTAGGCGAGCTATGACATAGTATAATAGCAAGCATGTGCCTTAGTTGGCGGCCTGTTTTCCAAGAAGCTGCCTCGTTGAGTGATTCGTGATAGTTCCTATCGTCCATCAAGAGGCCCAACTTGTCGGCGGCCTCTCGGTAAGTGTTATAGAGGACGCCGTCAATAGTACGGAGGTAAGCAAACGATGTAGGGCCAGGGATGTGACTTAATAGCAGCCGCAGATAGTACACATCGCCTCGCTTCACGTTGGCAAAATATACTCGGCCAATGGAGATCAAGCGATTCTGACGAGGAGTCAATTTCCTTTGCTCTTCATTCCAGCAAAAATGCCTGGGCACTTCGTGATATTTGATAGATCGAATTGTTGCATTGTCATGGAAAGGCAGTTTGACATTTTCGTGGCATAAGCAAAAAAATTCAGTCAATGTAGTACGATCCGCGCGGCCGGATTCCATTGACTGACGCAATCCGTCTTGATCAACAAAATAGATAGTCTGGCAGTCTTCCAGGTGCAAACTTAGTCGCTGAACCGCAGGATATCTACCTGACAACTCGTACATGAACAGACGCCAGACAGCTGATTTACTCGGCGTCAGTATATCGAATTGAATATCTTGGTGGAGGCAATCACTAACCTTCCGGGGCTGTCAAAAATCTTGCATTTACATATGCCTCGATTTCATCTTTATTATCCTCGTCTTCTACTTGAGCAGTAGTCCTATCATGTCCTTTGAGAATGTATTTGAATAGATATTTGATTGCCCGGATACTACCGGCCACCTCGACATTAATGTGACACTGGTATCTCATTAACAAAAACCGGTTATGAGGTACCACACTACCATTGTCAAACCGATCTTGGGCCTTTTGAAAGTAGAGGCCATTATTAGGTCGTTTGTAAGTCGGATAGGAATTGTCATTCAGATTAGTTAAATCACAAAACGGCCTTGGGTACCCCAATTTGCATTCGCTCCCATTCCAACATTTGTAAGATTGGCAAGGTCCATGTAGCATGTTATTCGTGACCAAGCCAAATAGTCGAGGTTCTGTCACCGGGTCAGGTAGTTGGGCTGATATCAGGCAGTCGACGGCCTCGGGAGTATCAGGGCGAGAGTCGGGAGAGAGGAAAAGTATAAGGTGTGCATGCGGCAGACCACGTTTCTGGAATTCAATAGTATAAACGTAGGCGGGGCATTTTCCGAACCTCTCGCGCTTGGTCACATCATACAGCATGCTGTGAAATCTGTGATAGAAAGCACGCGCTACCAGGTCTGGTCTATCGCTAGGGGTTTGTCCGTCATCCAAGGCCTCAATGATTTCAGGCCATTCCGGGTTAGCTGTCATGGTGATGAACAGGCTAGGATTCCCAAATTCTGAAACCAGTGTCATAGAGTCTTGATACAGCTGCTGCATGTTACGAGGACCACCTACAAAAGAAGAAGGCAGGACCACTTTCCTCCCAACTACTTCGTCATCGAGTTCGTTATCCAGGGCTTCCACGGCGCCACTATAGACCTCGGCATGTAGCTCCTTTTGGTGATATCGTAAGTATTGGAGACGAGAGTGCTCCACGCAGACATACATGTCTACCGCGAATTCCTGAAATAGGCGGCCTGACGCCAGGATGACAGAATATTGACGACGTTGGAATAATAAATACGCAAACCATTGAAGGTTTGATACCTTCCCTCCACCGTCTGAATAAATGATTAATGGCAACATCAAAATCAAGTAATGCCCATACAAGGTATGAAAAAGATGGTACACACTGGCAACCGTCGGCTTAGTGTAGGCATGGTGCCACATTTGCGAACCATGTAGGAAAAGCAAAGGGTAACGCAAAGCAAAGTAGGCGGTGTGCAGCTCAGATATGTATTGTATCTCACCGGTCTTTCGACGTAGAATAATGTCTCCCTGACGTGCTCCAATCTCGCCATCGCCTTCAATGATCGCGGCAACCTTGTTACAAGTGGGCTTGTTATAACGACGGTGGTCAGTCCCGGGTGCTAAGACAGTCTTGATTCGCAACGTCCTGGGCCGTACAGCTTGCTCGTCGCAGATTTGCGCCGCCGACTTGAATACCCGGGCGTACGGATTGTGATCATACATGAACTGTTGAAAAAGGTAAACAATCTGGGGATCCAAATCAGATCCACTTCGCCGGACTCTGAGCTCAGCCTCCTCTGCACCACCGCCTCCGTATATAAAGATTTGGGCAAATGCTGGTTGTATACCGTCAGGAGGCACCAAGGACCCAATTCTGTGGGTGAGTTGACCGGTTATTCTGAAGGTATAAATACCAGGCCGACTCATAACGTCATTGTCAAATGTAACACCCAGTGAAGCAAATGACAGCACATTATTGTATTTTTGGATCTTTTCACGAAAAGTGCGCGATCCTACATGGGTGATAGTCAGCAGCCACCTCGAAAACAAGTCATAATCCTGCTTACTTTGGTCTTTGCCCCGCAGCAAGTCACGAAAGAACATTGGGATCTGTTCCCCCACATCTTGTGGGAAGTATCTAAGAGGTAAATCAACCTTTACGTGTTTGCAACAATTTAAGTAAGATGCTTGCAGATGGTTTTTGTCTTTCTTGCGACGCTCTATTTGCCATCTGAATGCGCCACAACCAGTGCATGGATCGTCCGCTTTGCCCATGTTAAATGGAATTTCGTCGGGAAAACGGCTTAGTAAATTAACCTCTCGTGCACAATCTTCAAACGGCACAGCTGGCCCTTTGTCTTGATGTCGGCCTTGCATAATCAAAGAGAATAGGTGGAATCCAATACAAATAGTGGAGAACACGTGGATAGTTTTTTAATTAGATGATGTAAAGAAATGCGAGTGCAATTGAAAAATAGTGTCCAGGGTCGATGCTCTGAAGCAAATATCGATATGGTATTGACGTTGGGCAAAAGGCAACTGGCGCGACGTGAAATTCTTGCACATGCAATAATTCTTATGGTGTATGAAGCAGAGTGACAGCATCCACGTCAGGCAAATCGTAGACTAATAGGCATCGGGGAAATACATCGCCAGGCACAGTCGCGGTGACTTCCATGGCTCAAATAATAGTATTCGTAGATGCGAACAGACAGTCCTTCTTGTTGACGATTGCAATCCAGTGTGATGCTCAGCAGGAGACGTGTGAAATCAAACGGCATTGCGGGTGACATTGGAGTTGGTGGCGGGTACATAATGCAGGCCATTTGGCTTGCAACAACGGGAATTTGCTGCATATAGTTCCGCCGGAATCAAATCGTAACTCATTCTGCTATTGGCTTTAGGCAGTGGCCGTTTGCAGGAATGAAATATGGAATAACATCATTTGATCGAATCAATGTTGGACGGATCAACTAAGATGGAGTGAGGGCTATCGGATTTCAAGTACACCGATGAAATCGAAGCCACATCGGACTGACAGGCAATCTGGCGACATTCATGGACCAGAGAGGATGTTCCGATGTCGTATGTCAATCGATATCATGCCGAAAAGGTATGAAACTACGTTGCCCCTGCCAAATATGTCAAAATGTGTCCTTGAGACGTTCGGGCCTCATATTTTGAGGTAATATGTCATCTCTGAGATGGCAATTGCGCCTGCGACTCAGGGTAAATCGGGAATCTTTCTACTTCCGAAGCACAAAACATGAAGTAATTGGCGTACAATAGCCACTCAAGATGAGAGATACTGCGTCGAGGTTGTGCGATAATTTGAAGTAGAGTGGTAATAAATGAAACCTATCATACCACATACAGGCACCTGACCCAATCAGTCTCAGTTGACCAAAAGTTGCAACCCGCCCAATACATCAGCTTACACAGGTTCATATGTAACCTACCTATCAGTAATTGTAGGCTAAGAGTAAAGGTAGGTAAGCCCCGGATACCTTGGCCCACAGATTATGTACCCAGGCCACACCCGTGAGAAATGTGACATACACATACCGAGTAAAATCGGCACCTGTACGTGCAGAGCATATACATACCCAACTTTGGAATGTACGCACGGCATCAGGTCATTTGGCAACTCATCATGTTCGAAGTATAGGCCATTAGGTTAGACCCAATTTTGCCCAAGTTATTGAGCAAGCCCCCTCATATGGACTACACGGCATAATGTAAAGAAAAAAGCTTGATGACTGAGCCATTCTTGCGAGATTGAGCTCGGCAGTGGCTGCCCCTGCATACCAGTTGCGGCAATTTAGTTACGTCCCTGGTATTGTATCCAAAGCAGAGGAACCATATACTCAGCACCAGTGCGTGCAGGGCGAACTGCAGTGAAGTAGTAGAGGTAGTGGGGGCAAAAATATGATCATGATTGTCAAAGCAGATGCGGCCATAGGTACTCATCTCGCACACAACTTACAACATATTCTGTGACTAAGTACATAATGAAGTGGAAATTGATCAAACATTGCGAGCCGCACACACAACATCATATTACAATAATGTGATATAACTCAGCAGTATGGATTTTCATGGGCATACATCGTCCCATATCGGGAGTGATAATAAGTTCAAGGCACTGGTAAGATAGTTTTGTATTAGTTCAATGGGTGTGTGTTTGGTGTCAGGAAGCTATTTTAGGGGCCACATGTTAATCGTCTTGGGCTACACCCTCATCCATCTCCTTTGCAGCCTTGCGCTTCGGTTGGTAACGTGCCCGCTTTTTGGGTACTTGTCCTGAGAAGTCGGGTGGGGTGGCCAAGCTACTACTGCCTGAAGACGTCGACGTTCCCGCAGTTATAGTAGAAGATGACGAAAACGGAGTATCAAGTGAAGCAAAGTCAGCGGTAGTGATACCGCTGTTTTCATCGGTAGCCGGCTTAAATGAGGTGTTTGGGCCCTTCGGCTTGAATCTGTTAATCATAGAGCCCTGTCAGACTCCATAAAACGCTTTTATGGACAAATTGTGTGACTTACTTCTTTGGCTTCTTCAACGTGTTATCTACATTGTTGTGTTGATCATCGTTTTGAGTATTCACTTCCTGAAATCCATTTGTCATTATGACCTTGTTGGCCTGTGGATAAAGCACCATATTCAATATGCAGTCAGGATGATCAGACGTAATGAACTTACCACAACAACGTAGCACGAAGTCTCTTCGTTAAAGTCCTTGATATATCCATGGAATTGACATTCCCGCCCCAACCTGACGAAGCTGGCAATCTTGGCCAGGTTTGGAGTTGGTCGCACGCGATACTCAACATTGCATGTACGTGCAGTTTTCATCTAATGACAAAAGATTACGATTGATAGTCAGACTTATGAAGTGCATTGTAGCAATTTGAAAGTAAATATGACTCACTATGGGATGATAATCTGAGTGTTGCACAGTGAAAACTGTGGTCGGGACTGGGTCTTGATCAGGAGATTTTTTCATGTACTGACAGCTTTGTTCGACAATGTTATTAATGCCAACAACAATTCCAAGGCCTGTTACACCAACTGTATCAACTAAATCTCCGTGAAAGCTCTCTCTGGGTCCAACCAAGGCAACATCACTACCTTCAAATATGAATTGGTCTGCTCTGGTGTCCGCGGTGTTAGAGGGGAATAGTGTTCCTCGCATAAAGTATATGTGGCTAGGGAATAACTTATACTGAGCCGCACTAAAACCCTTTGCAACAATTTCATACAACAACCGCTCCTGGCGATCGGCACCACCACACCCAATGGACATGACGTATGTCCTGTATTCGGAGCGCCAGCCGTTGTCGGGCGATATCTGGCGAAGTAATGGAATTTCAATTTGGTGGCTGGATTAAGCGCAAAAGAGATTTAATACCTTTTCTTCAATTTCAAAATTGCCGGATAAGTAGATTCCTCGGTGAGTTGGGGTGTTGGTTTCTGACATTGATTGGCGGTATGTAATTACTAACAATTCGGAAGATATAATCAGTGAATAGGTACGGGACAGTCACAGGTCAAGGATCTAACCTGGCGTATTGAAAGAACAATATCAGTAGGATGGATTGATCGACGAAAATGATAAATTGTATGATTTGGTACGTGTGTTGGCTGGGCAGGGTGATGGCCTTGATAATTGAGCAAGACTAAGGTTAGGATTCTGGTATGTATAGGATATAGGATTTAATGATCAAAGACTGACTTGTGTTATTTGTATGCTGTGGCGAGTTGAACCTGAGGTGACTGGGGTAAATGAAACACCATTAGCAAAGATTAGTGCTTGGTATTTATGGAGATACCGATGTATGTGCCATCCAGCGCTTTGTTTCGTTTGATTGTGTGTTGCGTTGGGTGGGACTTTGGACGCCCGGCGGCGTGAAACTGGGTAGGCATATGTCAAGGGGGATTGATTTCGGAGAGTGTGAAACGGTCCCTTTGGCCTATTGAAGCGTTGCCATATGTCTTTCCATTGATTTGCTTGTGACTGGCGTGTCCGTTTGTATGCGGGGATATATTGCGGATTGTCCAAAATGTGATATGTTGAGGTATGCATGCTGATACGCCTATGAGGCCAGGTAAAGTTTATTGATATCTTAGTCAATTGAGAATTTGCTGAACATTTATGGTGACAGGATTTATGGTGACAGGATAGCGATAAGGATGTTGCCAATGTGTAATAGTCTTCGTAAGACACAAAGCTCCAATTGAATATGTTGACGTTTGAAAGTATGTGATGTCCGGCGAATGTGGAGCGTGATTGGAATGATATGCTGAATTCGACATCATCCAGTGTGGCAAATTGGATTGGGCTCCTACGATGGCATGTAGTTACATATGGCATATTGACCTACTTGTTTGTTGTGTGGCATGAAAGGAGCGTTAATCCGAGTTGAGAGGTGATGATATGGTGAGATTCTGTGACTATGCGAATTGAGGCGGCTTCCGGTCACTTGAAAATACACCCGCTTGGGATATTGAAAAGGACGTTATGATGGGAGGGATCAACATACCATTTTGCTGTCTCCAGTGGAGGCAATTGAGCCCATTTGACTTAGTTTGTTGGGGTTGAGGAGACAATCAAATATGTAGCAATAGTATCCTGTTGATCGTTTGCTGAAAGAAGTGAAAATATTGGTGGCCCAGTTTGGCCTACTTGAGTTGGTTCGTTGGGGGATGTAAGTTGATGTAGGGAGGGGTATGCGGTGATGGTAGGCTGGGGATCAATTGCTGAAATATGAACGGATGGTACCCCGTTGGATGGTAGCACATGCCACGGCTGGTATTGTCGCCAAATGACGTGGTATGCGCCACGATGCGGCCAGTTTAAATGTACTACTTGATGGACGCATGTCTTTCCATGTGTTTCCGACAAGTTTTGGACCCTTCTCCAAAACTCGTTTGGCTGGGTGATCGGATACTTTGGTGTATTTTGTCGAGTTTTGTTTTTGAACCGTTCCTGAGATTAATTGTTATGATACATGCATAGTAAGCCGGTGTAACAACCCCTCCAGTGTGGCGCCCGCCACCCAATTGTGCTAGTAATTGTTTATATACTCATCATACAGTTGATTCATCATGTGCCATGAATGAACTGGTGTTGTCCACATACTTTGTACAGCTCTGTGAGATGATCAGAGATATAGAGAGTGCACATATTTTCAGTCATAACCATGTTGATGGAATTATTAAAAAAATGATCCTGACCTACCTGATGCTGCATCCCACAAATTTTTTTTGATTCCCTTAACTGATAACACATTGATTCTTCTACTAAGTCTCAAGACTCGAACGGAGTGGATCAAACATTAGACCAAAAAGTATCAACATGCATTTTCAAAATAGTGATCTTGGTAGTCATTGAACGTTGGATATGAGACATTGGCTTAATTGAGCAACCCTCTTAGTTGTTGAAGCCAAAAATTGTCATTACATTGAGATACTTTTACCACAAGGACAAGAAGTCACTGATCCTTGAGGTAGATTTGGTGTAGGTGATGTTTTTTCAGATGGAGTTCGATTAATATCATTGACATCATGATGATTATCATTGACGGTGATAGATGGTTTAACTTTGACAATATTGTTCTGGTCACGTTGCTTTAGACAAGGTTGTTCAAGTTTTGGTGATTGGTTGGTAATAATTGCTTCTTGAATGATCACAGTGAGATTGATAAGTAACAGATGTCAGTACAAAACCAATTCAAAAGAAATTCAATACTTGAATATAAGGAAATGGAACAAAGTTACACAGTAAAACTAAGCTGAACAGGGAAAAGGAAATCAAAGTCCTTTAGCTTGCTTGTTTCCATCTGGCCAAAGTATGGTAGGATACCTAGCTTTGTTTGGGTCATCTTCTGAATTCATAACTTTTCATTTCAACATTTTTTCAAAAGTTACAATTCATCACTTTCCAAGTTGTCATTTGTGGACATTTTTTTACTGCAGGTAATTTATCTGATACATCTACTAAGGTCATTTCAGGGAGATGATCTAGGGTAGCAGACAGAACGGCTTCATTTTCAATGGATTTAATGAACAAGTTAAAGAAACCAATTGACATCCAGGCTTTTATTGAGCAATGAAACGGGATAAGAGTCGTATTTGTATACTGTGCAGACAAGCAACCAAAGTACATTAGAGACCCATTGAATGTGGGCATTTTGAGTGGCTTTAGGCGGCTTGATAGAGAGCATGAGGTATTGGCAATAGTGAAGATTCATGCAAAAAAAGGAATCATGTGAACCAATCCCGTTTGCAGTAACGATGTACATGGCCATAACCAAAATCAGTAGAACCTGATTGATATTTTCCCTTTATGTTTTATATCTGGTGATTCAAAACGTCCAGTTGGTGAATTTGTTTAAGGGTTTGGAGACTTTTTGGTTTGATCTATTTCATCTTTTTTTATATTCTTTCATCATGTGTCCCACTTCTGATTGATTTTGATTATTTGAATTTGAGGTTGTTTTATAATTTAATGATTCTTCATGAAAATGCAGGATGACAGGGATGATGTCAATTCAATCAACCAAAATTGGGCCAAATCTATGATCTAAAGTAGGAGCTGTAGTAAAAGTAGTTGTTATAGTTGTGGTTGATTGAGAATTAGGTAAAATTGAATCAGGTGTCTGCCAATATGATTTAGGATTAATTAGTTTTAATTCAGGTAACTGATCCCAACTTTCTCCAATTCTAGTTGGGAATACTTCACTTAAGTCTCCCCAAAATACTGATTTAGTTGATAAACTAGCCAGATCAGCGGCGGGCGCCGCACAGCTCTTGCTCTACCACTTAAACACTTCCTGATGTTCAGTACATTGTAACAAACCACACAGATGTCATACTTGGTTAGCTTGTATGACTGATGTTTCAGCCCTTGAAAGCAGTAGCTGTGTCTTGCATATGTTTTATTTGAATTCTTTGTGATAGCATTTCCTTTGACCACTCCTTGATCCTCAGACATGCACTCTAAGTTTTTGCATTTTTATCTCAAAAACTCCTGTTTACTGGAACATTTGTATCAAATCAAACCCACTCAGGGAAACATTGTTCTCACAGCCATGCATCACACTTTTACATTGTGAAAACCTACCCCTATGTTGTTCACACTGCAGGGTAACACAAGACAACTAAATTGATATGTAGTAAAAGAAAAAAGCAGATCTAGATTTTGATGCTGATGTGACTATTATTGCCCTTGCGTTCTGTAACTCATGTATGTGCAAGCATCATTCTCTCCTACAAAGGATGAATAAGCCTGAATCATTTCAGTTGCCTTATATCAGCTTTGGTCATCATATCCTGCACAGAGGTCAATTCAGATCATTACAAATGATTTGTCAATCTGAGCCAAACCCTGAGTTTGCTCACCAATAGTTCCAGTTATCCACATTGATATCTGAAATGGGACTTCATTCCATAACCTTCAAAATTCCTGACTAAGGCTGGATCTTCTACTCAAACATTGTACGTGAGGAAGAAAATGTGTCTGGAATTAACAGGCATTGTTAGAGCATGTCCATTGAGGCCTCTAAAAATACAGTGTCACTAAGACAATAGCCTGTGATCAGAATCACCATGTTCTGAAAGATCTTCACAATTGTAACCACTCAGGGGGTCTGCATACATTATTTGACCTGAGAGCTTGAATAACCCAAAGTCATGGGCAGTCAATATTGCAAATGTCAATTGGAAAATTATCAGGAACTAACTGCGTGAAGAATTTTTCATGTGAGTTTAGAACGGCCAAGCCCATTGAGCCTGTTTGTTGACAATCATTGTGTGGTGCATATTTGAGACATCTGATCCTTTTCCCCAAATTCTGGCAAATGTCTAAAATACTACTGTGAATGCATAGACTACACTTCACAGACAAATGCTTGAGCCAAGCCCTCACATTCTGATCCAGCCAACGTAAGAAACCAAGATGGATTCATAGTGATCAGAACTTGGTTGTTGAATCAAGTGAATTCCTCAGGGACTCCATGTTGTTCATACCACTACTGCCAGGTCTTTGAATAACAATTGATAGAAAAATGCTTGAGGCAATGTTGTAATCCCACATTCTGATTGAACCAGCGTAAGAAATCAAGGTGAATTGATCAGGATCAAAACTTGGTGGTTGAATCAAGTGAATCTTTCAAGAACTCCAATTCATGCATACCACTACTTCCGGGTCTTTGAATAACAATCAATACTTTAGGATCTTCATCAAGCCGGTCCCCAGATCTATACTTCAATGCAACCGCCTAGGCATCACAACGTCAGTAACATCAGCCTTCAGACCTTCTCCATCCAGACCAGCACAAACACTATATATTGTGATTCAAGAAGAAAGATACTACAACTGAAATTAATATGAAATTTGCTGGGGACCATTTTCAAGGAACTCAAGATCAAATAATACACCACGGGAGGGTTCTGTGTCTGCAGACCGCCTGCCGCAAAGGCCGTTGTAGAACTTATAACCCAACAAGGGTTATACAGAGCTGGAAGAGGATAATCTACTAATATAAGAACTAGTAGAAGTTGTCTGAGACTGCTCTTCTAAAACAACACAATAAGGAAAGGATCTGTTGTATTGAGTACAGATAAGGCACCAGAGAAATATATCTTCACACGTATTTTAACTTCAAAAGCACAATTTGTATTACTATCAACACTGCTATAGTGTTATTCCCAAATGATAACTGAAGAAATAAGCAATATCTGATTGATATTATTCCTGATGAGTCTTTATGACTATAAAACTAAAGTAAATTTCTCTTTATAATTGTAATAAAGGGCGTATTTAAGTGACCAGGTACTATTAAAATAAGTTTATAATGATAAACAAAATAATAATGGCGTAAATGATAAAGATAAAAGGGGAACAACAGTCCCAAAACCCTCTCAAAGTATATATAACAATGTACCACAACTTTTACAATGGTCAACAACCTCAAAACCAATCAAATCCGCCCAAAATTCCCTAAAAACCCTATGATGACGCAATGTAATAATTTTGTTACTAATAAATGATGTAATTTTCGCAGCCAAAAGTGATCGATGACGCAATAATATGATGTACAGCACTTCTTATGATGAATACAGGTGATTTTTTTCTTGTAAACTAGCTGAAAACCAATTTTTGAGATTACAAATTTTTTCAGATGTGCTCCAATTTTTGATTACTAAAGTGCATCTTGTAGCCCACGTGTTACTGATCATTTCCGACACCCATATGACCTACTTCCAATGAGTGATGAGTAAGATATTGAATTGTGAAGTTAAGGTTTTGAGCATTACATGTTGACTTGTGACTGTAAATTCGAGATTCACACCAATTCTTTATTTGCCTTATAACTTTTTTCATACACCTTCGCTACTATTGATTTAAAGCTTGTACAATATGTAATCCACTCTTCCGCGTTGAATGAGCCATCTACCAACCTATTCTGACGTCATTTGACATATGTAATTAGCTGAAAACCTCTATTTTCCACAAAATTCACCCATTTTCTCCACTTTTCACAGCTGCTACTCTCTTTTTCTTGCTCATGTAATATGAAATCATCCTCTATAACCTTAAAAATCCCGGAAAATCCTCTTGGCAACCTTAAATTCCATTACTACCACTATTTCATAACCAAACTACACGTGTACCTCTTGGTTACCAACTTCGAAAAAGTGCCTTTTCCCTGATAACTTTTGTTTCTCCTTATCAACCTTCAAGATTAAAATTGTCATAGTATAATATAATGTTGTTCTTTCATATTCTAACCTCATAATACCCATAACTTTATTTTTACTAACCTAAAAACCATTTTCCAATCTTTGTACCTATAATTTTGAATTTTTCTTATATTTTTCTTTATTTATTTTTGTAATGAGTTTGTAAATAAACTATAGTGATCTTAATGAATAATGTGAAATAAAATGATGTAATGTTAACCGGATGACCAATACATAAGCCTACAAGAGCTTCAATTGATCTAAAAACCTCCATTTCGAATTTTCTTTCCTGCTGAATCCTGCTAATAAACTGGTAAACTGCTAATTGTGGATTTTTTAATTGATCCCATAAATTGATCACCACACCGTCTGTAGCTGGACCACAGGGTGTCACAGAATGGTCTAATGCGGTCTCAAAAAGGTTGGGGGTTTTGCAGACCATTTTGAGACGGGGTAAGACCATTTCAGGACGCCCTGAGGCCTAGCTACAGACAGCCTTCACAGCAGGCGGTCTGCAGACACAGAAACCTCCTGTGGTGTATCAAGGTGGTAGCCTTGGAAATTCACTCACGATCCAATCAAACAGAATATCCATTCTTCTAGACAACTCATTCTGGAATTTTCTGACAATTGATCTTCTGAATCTAACAGACCATTCATCACCATCATCATCCATTCTCCTAATCAAAGCCCAAGCCAAGCAACTGTATTCGACTAATATTCTTTATGTACCCAATTCACGCATTTCCTTTTGAGCAATTTTAGTCGGTGCAAATTGAGTCAATGAGGAGAGTAATTGACAGGATTCAGGGGTAGAAATGCATTCTGAGGTGGACAAATAACATCGGATTGATGCCAATTGGTGAGTGATATCAATCTTTTGCCAACCTTAGCATTGAAGACACCGGGCCTTGTGAACCCTGCTCTCATCGGTCTCTTTTAGATCAATTGCTTCTTACATAACCTCCAGCACCTTCATCCCAGCTCATCTCAGCCTGGACAGCGAACCAAATTGAATACTTCCAAGCAAAATAATCTGACATAAGACATAATATCAGTCCAAGTATAGTGGAAAGGTAAAGTCAAGGTGGGGCAATTGTGAACTGGCTGACTTTCTTCCATAGACTGGTCATTGTATCCCATGCCTAACCCTCCTATTCTTTGTACCCCCTTGAACCTTCGCCCGTTGCATTGTTAGCTTGTTAGCTGGTTAGCTATTTGTCTATGATCCTGCCCGTTGCACCTTGAAAGTTTAGAAATAGATACGAAACAGTGAATCAGTTTGGAAGCCTCTCAATTCAGATGGAATAGGATGTGATGATTTGAGCTCCTTTTAGATATTGTACAAAGCGGGAACCGTGTGTCTCCAACAATATAAGGGCTGAGGATGTTCCTGTATGAGGATGAATCAAAGCAAAAAGACACTTGATGACTGATATTCATTCA